CAATATTTATCCTGACAGATGTCAGGAGAAGTGGTCATGTGTCTGAGGAAATAGTTCTGACAATAGAAATACCTTTGTTACTGAGGGAGCAAATCCCAGTTTTCAGTAAAACATACCAGGATGAAAGGGTGATTTAAGAAGAGATTAAACCTGAATCTTATTTTATTTCCATAGTATTATACTCAATTCATTCCTAAAAATAAGACTTGCTATGAAAACTAGAATCATATGTAATTCCACTGTTAAAATAATGAAAGAGAAAAAAACCACCTGATATAGTGAGGGAGAAACTTAGGTATCAAGTTATACTTTGCAGGCTCTGTTCAGCCCTATAGAAGTTCCAGCAATTAGGATGGAAGGTGCCCTGTTTGGGGTGACAGATCTACTTTGTCTTTGTCTTCTATGAGAACCAAAAAAGGTGGCGTAATTGTTTTAAAACTTTCTGTTTAAGAGCCAGCTGAGCTGAAAAAATTTTTTTTCTCATAAAATGTTAATGTAAATGATGATGGAAAACATGTTAAGTGGATACGAGCCATAATTTACCTAAATCACACGGAGTAGTTCACTATACAGGGTGTCCCCAAGATCGCACAGGAAGTCACCATCCATAGAGAAAATGGGAAATTGTGGCTAAATGTATCTTTATTTACAAAACATTCATTACAAATTTTTACAAAATATTTATGAAATATTTTTTACTTGTTTCCGATCTCTTTGTAACATTGCATAAATATTTTCAATGATTTCAAGATGCCAATGAGGCTATGAAATTCAAATCAGACTCATTTGTCTACCTGGATCACCATGACCTTATCTTAACTTTTCATATACTTTGGTTTTGTTTTTTTTTACATAATTTGATTTATAGCAAGACCAAACCAAACAAAATACCAATAGTCTACTGTCTTACATATTAAAGAAATAATCACTGAAAGGAAATAAACAGAGTTAATTGGGTCTAAGGCCCAAGATTAAGGCCCAGTATTATGTGCTGCCTCATTTTATGCTGAAACCAGGAGGGCCAAACCACAGCTTCCCTCCCATTCTGCTCTGATGGATAAGGTTCCCTGTCAAGGGGGTCATGTGCAGTGTCTGCTTATCTCAGTGTAGAGGTTTTGGTTTCTTGCCATTGTGAGGGATTATTCAACTGAACCAATCGTATCTTCCTGCAGGAACCAAGGGCACCTCAGCCATTTGATATTAAAAAGCTTATCTCCCACAGCCTCTAGCTGTCCACTGTTCCCAAGCACAACCCCCACGTGGCTCTGGATTGTGTGGTGTACTGCCCTCCCCCCTCCAAAAAAAAAAACTATGTGATAATAAACTGTCGCTGAGCTCATCTCTCATCTCTCCAGTATCAGGGACAATGTGCTCGGCCCTCACCATGACCCCAGAACAGACAAGAATCCCTCCCTCACCAACCAGGAGAAAAGACAATTTAACAACTCAACATAGAACAAAATATCAGCTGATAAGTAATCAAAGAAGTAACACAAAAACAATACGATGTAAAATGTGACTTCTGAGCTAAGTTAAAATATATTTTGTCTTTGAGTGCTGTCATTTTAAATTTCTATGATGAACCGTGAATGGCGAACAATTAATTAGTTTGGAATTGCAAATTGGAGGAACTTTCCTGATAAGAAGCTTGATGTCTAAGAAACATTCCAAATATCCTTCCTCCTTTACTCAGTAATTTTACTTCTGGGAATATATTCTAAGGAAATAGCAAACACTATGGCAGCATTTTCTCATTGCCGCACTGTTTACTATGGTGGAAAGAGAGAAATATCATAATTTCAAGGAATAGTTTAAGTAATCAAATATCTATACAATATAACAAAGACCACCCATTGTATTTACATTTGTGAAGAACTTTTGATGTAAGAAGAATATGTAATTATTAGGCAATTTATACTAATTTAAAGATACGTATGTGAACTACAGTACAATACACTTTCAACTTTAAGTGTGTATGCACATGACGTAAAAAGGGCAGAAAGAAAAGGAAGAAAATACAAATTGTTAAATTATGATGGATTCTATTTTTAGCTTTATAACTTTACAGGGAATATACAACCTATATTATATTCATCTATAAGAATATTAATACACAAGAACGCATGCCCCTTTATGTGTACACACACAAGAAGACTTAGAATGAGAGAAGCATGGAGCCAGTTAGCTTCTGTAAGCTGAGACCTAGGTGGACATTTGTCTTTAAGATCTCTATCAAAGCAGAGGTTAGTAATAAAATCCATCAGAAAATGGGAAAGGGGTGGGTCGTGCCTGTGGCTCAATGGGGTGGGGTGCTGGCCCCATATGCCAGAGGTGGCAGGTTCAAACCCAGCCCCGACCAAAAACTGCCAAAAAAAAAAAAAAAAAAAAAGACTGTGAGAAAATGGGAAAGTTTATGTCTTCTATACTTCACTGGTAAAATTCTTTGAGCAAATGAAGAGAAGCAGTACCAATTACTGTGATGTACATGTATGTACACATATAATTTGTAAGACGTATTTAAATACTCAATATATACTTTGATGTACTCACTCTTTCATGTGTATTAATTCCACTTCTTCAAGCACTTTGCCAGTTTTTTAAGCAGAGTTCCTGTCCCAGATTTTTCCCACATCTGCCTTATATCTGATATGAGGCTGAATGCATAATCAGCATTACACATCTACAGTTTATAAGGGAGATAGTCTTTTATTTATTGTAACTCTGCTTTATGTACTTTCATTACATTTCAAGTAGATTTAATCATTACAGAGGGTGGATACATGGTAGTTTTAGTACTTTTATATTTTTATTGAGGTAGAATGTGAGAATTTTGTTGTTTGCTTTCTAATCTGCTACGTATTATATCTTTGACAAATATCAGTGGAATATATAGAGCTAGTCTCAATATACTCCATATAAAGTCTAAATACAAATCTCTGTTTGAGTCGTTTCTATTTTAAGTTTGTGGATTTTCATTGTGAACACATGTAATTTTATAATTAAAAAAAGAAGAGAAAAATGTTATTTGTATTTGGAGGAAACAGTGATGTTTTTCAATTATTTCAGAAGGAAATAGAAAACTTGGAAGTACAGAGGAAGACATTTAATTATTTTAATATTTTATGTCCCTAAAATAGTTAAAATTTTCACTATTTTCTTTGGAGTTATGCATATATAATTTCTTTAGTTGCATGCTGTGACAGCAATATAATGATTGATCAACTTATGTATACAGTCCATTATTATAAATGCAATAATCTCCGTTCAAACAATAAATTTTCTCCTATCTCTACCAGAGTGAGTATGAAGGCTCACTGCTGCGTTCATATGTATGTGTGCTGGTATGCACATCCCTCTCCTCTGCCCATGAAGAATATGTAATCAACTCAATGCTTCCCTGTATTGCCAGTATTTGAGATGTCCATTCTCTATTAACCAATAAAAGCATAAATCCTGACTAGCTATTGTTGGCTTTTTAAACTGTTCTGATACACTTTTGTTCAGCTTTTTAAAATTTTAGGCTGAAAAGCCTTTACATTGAGTATTCAAGAAGATGAGAAGAGGAAGGATTAGGGCAGAGTCCTGACTGTAGTTAGAACTGGTCACCAACTTTGTGATTCTGAGAATGCCACATTCTTCCTCAGAAACATAATGGATCCATTAATGAAATATTGATAAAGTATCTTGGCCATCTTTCTCAGATTCCTGTGATTTTTCAGAATACTGTTTCTTTTTAATCTTTTGAATCCATTACCTAGAATTATTATTATGCTGTCTGATGAGTAATTATCAGATTACTGGAGATTTAATGAGGTATATCAGATCTGCAGCTTTCTTGTTTTTTATCCATGAAATCAAGATTATAATAGAATATTTAGAAACCATTCCTCATAAGAATCTTATGCCAAAACAAATTTCAATATATTCATATGTTATGTTTATTTCATATGTACTAATTTAAATATTTAAGTATAAGATGACAGTGCAGTTGAAACACTTTTGTAGATTACTAAAAAATTTCCGAGGTATATAGATTTTTTATTATCTCAGGAAATACAAATCTGTCAAAATTATAATTCAATGGAAGAGATTGTAAAATGAAACAAAAATCATCTCCCAACAAATTAACTACATAGATAGATATAACTTTAAAGAAGATGGATAAAAGATTTATATCTAAGATGTGAATTGAAAACAAAACAAAACAAAAAAAATCCAACTACTTCAGCACACTGGAAATTGAAGAAAAACACACAACAAACGGGGAAGCTTCATGAGCAGCTGCTGATCTTCCACTAAGAGCAGTGGGATTCTTGGTCATGCTTGCCTGGGGCAGCTTCTATCCCTACTCTGTTCCATGGTAGTGCTATAAAGTGAAGCGGATAAACCAGAAGCTTTGCTGCTGGAAGGTACAGAGGAAGTGGAAGACCTGTAGATTATCTGGAGATTAAGTTGAGAGACTGGGAATTGAGACAGCCATAAATAGATGTAATAAGCTCTCTGCAGATCCCTGGGGAAATCGAGGCTGACAGCCAGTTCAGCAGGAACCAGGGAGAGTCCAGACTGTCCACAGGTGCCTACTCAACAGAAAGTTGCATAGGGGTTCAGCCGACAGGTGAGAAGTTCCAAAGGAAAGTAAAATCATCATCATACTTGAAAACTGGCAAACCTAAAAACTGCCTGAATGTTGAATACTCTCCCCAATCCATATAAAACTCATCAACAAAGTTTTACAGCTTTGTTGGTAGGTTTAAGATGCTTTATCAGAACTTCTAGTCAATCATTGGCTAGCCACTAAGCCATTCAGACACAATCCCTAGGAATCTGGCTTAAAAATAAAGTGATGCAATAATAGTAATAATAATGATGATGGTGATAATAATATATTTCTGGGCAGAATTATCAGTTTCTAACACCACAGGACAATTTCTCCTGAGAGTGAAAATTTGTATCCATTATTGCTACATATACTGGTTTTTTTTTTTTTTTTTTTAATTCAGTCTCCATAGAGACTGTCAAAAATTGCCAGTGCTGACTATATTTCAAGTCGTCATGGTGGGATATTGGGAAAAGTTTTCAATTAGCAATAATTGCGCCTTGGATAAACCTCACTGGCTACGATATTGCCACTGCTCAAAGCTTGCTATATATACTGTACTATATGAAATATCTGAGTTTCAGGCTGGGCACGGTGGCTCATGCCTATATTCCTAGCACTCTGGGAGGCTGAGGCAGGTGGATTACCTGAGCTCACAGGTTCAAGATCAGCCTGAGCAAGAGCAAGATCCCAACTTTAAAAATACCTAGGCATTGTGGCAGCCACCTGTAGCCCCAGCTATTCCGGAGGCTGAGACAAGTAAATCACTTGAGACCAAGAGTTTGAGGTTGCTGTGAACTATGACGCTGCAGAACTCTATGGAACGCTGCAGACTCTGTCTCATTAAAAAAAAAAAAAAAAAGGACAGAAAGAAAAGAAAAAGAAAAAAATTTTAAAAAAGAAAACATATGAGTTTCAAACAAAAAATATGATAAATGCAAAGAAACAACAAGGTATGACCCACACTCAGGAAAAAACAAATAGAATAGTGTCTCTGTGTTCTCTCTGAGTTGTATTTAGCAAAGACCCTGAACCTTCTATCATTAACATGTTCAAAGAACTACACAAGATTCTGTTTAAAGAATTAAAGTATCACAATATTGGTTCAAAAAGTAAAGAAACTCCATAAATAGAAATTGTAAAAAAGAAACCAAGAGCAGCCTTAAAATGCAAATGAAATGAGAAATTTACTAGCTGTTTCCAATAGCATACTTGAGATGGTGCAAGAAAGGATCAGCAGATATGAAGATAGATCAATAGTGATCAAATCTAAAAAACAGAGAAAACGTCTTTGTGACCTTGGAATAGGCAAAGAGTTTAAAGGTGATATCAAGAGCAGAATGGTCTATAAAACAAAAAAAGAATTGATAAACTGTATTCTATTGACATGTAAAATTTCTTCTTTAAAGACACTATTAGGCAAATAAAAAGACAAGATGTAGACTGGAAGGAAATAGATGCACATCATATACCTCATAAGAAACTTGTATCCGAAATACACAATGGACTTTTGCAATTTAGTAAGACAAACAGCCCCAGTAAAAATAATGGGCAAAAGATTCAAATAGACATTTCACTACAGAAGACATATGCATTGCTTATAAACACCAAGAAAACCATAAAAACACATAGAAAAACATATGCATGCTCAAAATCATGTCATTAGGGTAATGCAAATTAAAACAAGATGCCATGTCCACCCACCCTAAAGACAGACATGACCAAGTAGTAGAGGTGACGTGAAAAAAGTGGAACATTACGTTACAGTACTGCAAGGAATATAAAATGGTGCACTCCTTTTGACAAACTATTTGACAATTTCTTAAATAATGAAACATAAATCATAGAACTTGGGAAAGTATTCAACAAAAAGAACATACTGTATAGTTATGCTAAAACTTGTTTGCAAATATTTAAAAAAAACTGGGAATAACTATTGAAGAATCAAAATGTAGACTAGACAAACAATGGGAACATATTTAGCAAGAGAGAGGAGTGAATCGGAGATCCAGGCTACGATTCCAACTAACCTAAAAATGCTCATAAAGTGAAAGAAGCCAAAACTGCACTCTGTATGGATCCATTTATGTGAAATGCTTGGCAAAGGCAAAGTCAAGGAATAGTTGTTATTGGGCAGGGGAATCTGGAAATAGAGACTGCCAGCAGGCTCCAGGGAATTTTTGTAATGATGGAAATTTCTTAAACGATATTCTGGGGATGATTGTACAGCTCTGTAAATTTACCAAATTCATTGGTTTATACACTAACAATAGATATTTATGACATGTAAGTTGTACCTCAATAAAGCTGTTAAAATAATAATAAAGAGGCACCCACGTATGGTATTGCTACCAACTAGGATCTAATAAGACCTGTTATAATTGGTCTCCTGGTTTTGAAAACCCACAAAGACAAGTGACTAATGCAGAATAGAAAATGAGCCACTATTTCCTAAGAAGAAACTAAAAGTTTTTAATGCTCTTCATTATTATAATTGCTAATTAGTCTTTCTAGCTTTGCAGATGTAGCCAGGCCATTTATGAAACTGTACATCGCAAATGCCTTTTTTAAAATCAGAAGAATTTCCTCAGCTTGTTTCAAACAGCTGTGTTTCTAGAGCCATAAGATGGAGTTCTAAATTTAAAAAAAAAAAAGAAGACTTTTTTGCACATTACATTTTTATTTTGTTTTTTTACTTTTTCTGTTCATTTTAAGAGAAGAGGAAGTAACATTTGTTAAGGAACATAGCAAGATAGACAAGATTTTATGTTCAGTCTCACTTGGAATCACGTGAGATACCTGCAGTTTGTCTTCAGTCAGAGATGAACAAATTTCCTCTCAAAGTTTCGATAAGTGTCAGAGCTGACTTCCAATGTAGGTTTCTAGGATATCAAAACTTATTCTTCATTCTCCCCACTCGGCTGCTTTATGCTTTGTTGAACACAGGCTTTCAAAATTATTGTGCAATTACTGATAAATGCCTTTAAGTATATCTGGGCAGTTACAAGTTAAAAAATCAATTTTCAAAAAATTATGGACCATTTAATATAAGATTAAATTTTGATATATATTTTTAACTTTGTGAAACAAGGTAAAGATGTCAGTGTGGAGGTGGTCAAGAATAAAATGGAGTATGCCTCCTCTGTTAGAGAGGAAAATGAGCATGAATGAATTTTCATTTTGGTTGCATAAGATAGTAGAAATACTGCATACCTTTTATAAAATTTTATAAAAGGTGTACAGTTTTGTAAGACATACAATTTTATCTGTCAATTAAAAAAATAATTACTCAGTGAAAAACATTATCATATAAATTACAAGTATAGCTAAGAAGTAACAAGAAATCCTAATACCATCAAATATTTAGTCAATCAGATTAGGATTTTGGTTGAGCAGCAAACGACGTAGGGACCAACCAGAAGCCTAAACACTTTCCACCAGGGGTTCCCTGCCTGGCTGAGAAGTTCTAGACAGTGTCAAAGACCGCCTTGCCCAGCTCTAGCCTTGCATAGACATGTATTTAAAGCAATTTAAAGTACTGAAAACTCATCAAAATCACACAGAGTGTTTCAAAGCATTTAATTTAGTACGGGACCATTATTCCTAAGGACATATGGAAAACGTATTCAGTAGTTCAGGGTAAATAAGACAAGGAAACTATTATTATTTTTGGTAGCTATCAAAAGGAAAAGGATGCTGCGGGGAGATGATAGAGTGCATTTCTAGCAAATTTGTTGTTCAGAGCAATAATCCTCTTTTCTCATTCTGCAAAATCTATTCACAGAAGAAACTGGATTTAGTTTTGAGACTAGAATATTTATAACAAAAAAATCAATAGCATTTGTTATTCTTATGTTTCAAAACATATTTTCCTAGTTGGATTAAAAGAAAACAATAAAAACGATTCATTGCAAAAAAATAAATAATAAAGCTGAGGGGATAATTTCCTTAACATAGCATAAAAATAAAGCTCAAAAACAGGTACATTGATGCTGCGTCCTGATGATGTGCAGAAAGTTATTTGAACATTTTTATGATACATCATGAAAAAATGATTTTGGCATTGCTGGGAAGTATTATGTTGTTTTGCTTTATGAGCTGAAGGAAACTGAAATAGTTTTTAGCAAGTAATTACTTCCACAAAAAGAGCCCCCCGGCTTTAAGATTCACCCCAGGAATTTTCGTCAGTACTTAACATACAGTTTGAACAACAATAAAACTATGAAAAGTTGAATTATGAGTCTCAGGCAGAAGAAAAATTACCTGTTTTTAAAAGGAAAACAACATTAGCCTTCTAATCGATTCATTCTCTATGAAACTAAAGAGAGCAAAATCTAAGCAAAACCTTTTCCACATCCACATGTTCCATTTTCTAAAATCTGTAAGTGCACTGAAGACATGCTTCCTTTTGCCCTTTGTTATGTTAGTACTTAAAAAGTACATGCACCATGTTACACCTACTGTCTATGCAGGTCCCCATGCTTACGTATGCCGACATATTGGTGAATATTTTCTGTTGATGGACAGTGTCCATGAAGCTCACAGAATATACTTGAGTGAGCAGAGAGGTCATGTTCAGCTTTTGAAATTTCACCAACTTTGGAAAAATTTAATAACAATGATTTCAATAATGAAAACTTTATTTTTAATATAAAAGTTCTATTAGCTTTCAAAATTTTCAAGCTCCTTTCACACAAAGACAGACTGAGGAAGAATCATAGGGGAGGTGACGCAGGAGCCATGACGGACAACTAAAGGCAAAGTGGGTTCCTGAATTGAGTTCCAGACCAGGAAAAAAAAAAAAAAAAAAACCATGCAAATCCATAGTGGTTTAGTTGGAAAACCCTCAATTTGCATAAGGCTTATAGATGTTTTAATACTATCAAATCAATGTTAATTTTCTATGTTTGATCCACTGTGGGGGTTGGATATTTAAATGAGAGAAGCTGGTCAAAGAGTGAGCAAAAGAAATGTCTGTATTATTTTCTGTAAGTCCATCATTATTTCAAAATAAAAAGATACAAAATTCCATCATCAGCTTTGTTTTATAAAAGGACACGAATAAAGAGAAACCAGTATTACCGACAGAGTTCAAACTGAGTAGATATGGTTCCTTAGAGGAACACAAGATAGTTTTTTACCTCCTGTGTAAGACTGTTTCATATTCATAAAACCAGTGACTAAATAACTTAGTAGAATAATTAGTGAAGCATTGTGAAAACTGTGTATATAGAGAAAATTTAGTTCATGAAAAGAATGTGGTAACCATGGACCATTTAGTAACTCTGCATATTAATGACCAAGTCATTAAGGTTTTTGTTTTCAAGTATATAGCCTACTTATTTTTTGACATTTTCAACATACAATTTTTGATATCAAAAGTGATGTTTTCTAAAATGTAGTGAGCCATGTAACAGAAGTCCAAATCTATCAATCATGCATCAAGCTGACATTGGAATAAAAAGGGCAAGACCATTTGCTTTGCTTTACCTGAAACTGTGTGATCCTTGGAGTCTCTTGTTATTTTGATCCTGGCATGAGGATAGATGTAGTGCATGGTCTTGCCGTTCATCTGTATAATCTAAGACATACACGTGATAAGGTGAAAAATCAACATTAAAGACATTTAAATAAAATGCAGTGTGCAAAATTAGACTCGTTCATTTAAAAGCATATTGATTAGGTCAATGAAAATGTATTAGAAGATTCTCAAATGAGGGCAATTTAAGCATCATACACTAATCCTATATAACGAGAATTTTGGTTTCTTTGTTCATTATGGTTTTTGCATTTATAACCAATTGCTCTTGCAAACTGATTTGTTGTGTTTGGGAAATTAATGGATACATGTCCGAGACTTTGAGGAAAACTTGTTTCTACAGTAGTACGGATATTAATGCCAGTGCATAGAGAAGGCATGTGGGAAATTGTCAGCTGCTGATTGTCTCTGGACAAGGTGTTTTTAATTATCAGCAACTAAGTGGTGGAAAGGCAGAAAAAGCTGGAGAAGATCTCCACACTCCACATTCCTGTTGCTGTATTTGAAATGGCTGTGTATTTTTGTTACTTGATTTTATTGAGAAATTGTACTTCCTTTGAGCACATATTCTAGAAGTTTCAGTGTATACTGGATGCTGGGACTAATTCTGTACCAATACATAAAATACGTGTTCATTCTAATACATTCTGAAGCCTTCTTAGTATTAAAAAATTGTGTTATTGATCGTGTTAGTCCTCAAAGAGGTTCTTTAGGGCAGAAGAAGTATGCTTAAAGCTACTGTTGCAATTCTCATATTGAGACTTAAATGTGAAATTACTATAGGCTGCCTGATCTCTGCTTCTACCTGATGAAATGAAGTTTCTGGTACAAAAGCAAATTAGCAAAGGTAAGCTTATGCTTTATGGAAATTTGCTTTCAAAAGTGACATAAAAAAATGAAAAATAGAAATAGTAAAACACTTATTCATAATGACATTAACAAGATTTTATTAGTATGGAGCTTACATCTATTGCCTTAGGAAAAATTTTAACTTAAATTACGAATGAAATAGTTTAACATAAACATTTTATGTTACCTATTTTAAAAATGTTTAAGAAGTGTTTGGGAAGATTAACTCAAAAGATTAAACAATTAAGAACAAAAGACATGGAAAATTTGTGTGATTTAAATGTTCCCTAATAAGCTCAGACATAAAACAGAATTCTGCATATTAAAAGTAAAATAGGTATTGAAAAATACAAGCTAAAATTACAGCTTTTATTTTCTTTAGAAAAGAATAGGCTTAATCGGCCACTGGACCACTAGAAAACACTCCCCAAATAAGAACAGAATCCTGGTAAGTCCAAGAATATTATGAGAATGCAACATTGTATACACAAATATTATTTGCAGGATTATGAAAATTTCAGGGTGAAGTCATTTAATCCAGATAATTTACATAATTTGTAAATCACTGAATACTTTATTAATATTCATAATGACGAACTTACATTTCTCTTTTTTCTCCCTTTGTCTGGCCTCCTCGTCTCTCTCCAGCCCTTCGTCTCTCTGTCAGCTGACTCAGTCTTTTGAGTCTCTTTCTTACCTTCTCTTTTCTACCTTCTTACTCTCTCCCTCCCTCATCTTTTCTCCTACTTTCCGTCTCCTTTTTTCACTCCCCTAATCTGCACTTGTCTTTAATCTTTAGTGAAAATTAAATTGTGTACCCTGAAAATTCTACAATATATTACATATAACTAAACTTATATTCTAAACTATAAATCTATATTATATGTAACATAGAATACATTTATACAATAAATACATTTGTATAATAAAATTTGTTTCAGTACTGTAGATTATAATCGTTAAAATTGGTGGATATTATTTTATCTCAACTACGTGATACTTTCATGTGGTACTTCATAATTCTCCTAAAAAATCATTATTTTGCCCACTTGGTTAATAATAAGCTAGGTAAACACAATTTCTTTCTATAAATGTATTCTTTCCAGTTTCCAGACTGGAGAGAAGTTGTGTCATAGCACATCTATTACATGATTTAGAGGACTATCAGGTTTCCTGTGTTTTCAGCAGAATTCTATCAGCTAGCTAATATCAATTTTAAATTTACACCTGTTAGTGTTAGTGGAAGGGATGTTGAACGTCTTCATTTTTATTGAATGTTGCTTTTGAAGCATTTTATGTTAAAACAATTCCCTGTAGTTTCCAAGAACATCTGTGACCAGCTTCATGAGTCCACTTAACAAATCCAAAAACGTTATACTACCATAATTATGATCGATATGAGTAAGAGTCTATAGAATACAGAGGCATCTGTCCCTCATGTGTAAACTAGGTAAATGTCAGCTTTTTTCCTAACCTTATCAGGTGAATATTGATGGTCCTATAGCAGATAGAGTTACACTGTCGGGATGAGAGTAGCAACACAGCCCGGGCAGGACTGGTGCCAAGTGGTTGCCTATATCTTTCTCCAAGAGGTGGTCTCTGGTATCACTGTCTTTTGGTGATCATGCATTGACAGAATGATGGCCTCTTAGAAAAAGGACTGTTTCTTTTCCCTGCCTAAAGTGTTTCAAGATAAATTATCTTCATGAATTGAGCCCTCATACACTTTACACCTTTTATTTATGTAGACATTCCTCCATTCCCTCACTTATGTACCACTCATGCTAGATGCAGAGGAGAGAGACTTTGCTGGGTTCCTAGGAATGTGCTGAGGCACTGTGTACACATATACCATAGATGAGATAGAGCTGCTGTTCTTCAGGTGCTCACGGAAACCACTGGAGCACAGAGGAGGACCACTTACCCCATATGTGGGGGTGTGGTGGTGGTGTCAGGGAAGTGTAACTGCAAGATGGGGTGTGTCCATGGACACCCAAGTGATGAGTACGGGTAGCCACAGGAAGAGTAGAGGAAAAGTATCCAGGGAGAGTAACAGAACATTCAAAAACACAGAGTAAGGGGGAAGAGCGGCTCTTTCAGAAAAGCTTAATGGATCTCAAGTAGCAGTAGCACAACAACTACAAAGGATGTGGTTGCTAGGGCACAGAGTGGATGAATTTTATAATAGTAAGTGTTGACCTTTGCAACCACCTTGTGAGATGCGTTAGTCTTATTTATAGATTAAGTGACTGAGGAAAAACAAACAAAAGAAAGAGGTTAGGTGATCTGTTCAATATACAAAGGAGAGCTGAATTTTCAATGAATAGTCCAAAGGTTAAACATAAATACACCTACATATAGAAAAACACCATGAATCTAGTTTATTTTTAGAATTAAAATGAGTATGAGTCTAATAAAAAATTTTCAGAAATATTCTTCTACCCCTCTAACGTAGGCTTTATATAACCTATTTTTAAAAGCAGATAAATGAGCGTTTGCCTCAGTCAATTTGGTTTTATTACTTACGCCTCCAAAGTCTTTTATGAGCATAAATTCTTGTTATATGTAAGTTTTAAAATAAAAGTATCTGAGTTTATTGGCACCAAGAGTTCATTATTACCTTTTTTATGATCATAGATGCAAAGAAGTTAATATAATAAGAATGCCATTTGGCTATTCTCCAAGTCAAATTATAGTTATGATAAATTAAAAAGGAAGAGAGTATTTAAAGATAAACACTATAATGATATAAAAATACAAGTATAAAAATGATAAAAATACAAAATAATTTCATTTAGCAAGAAGATACACATTATTATATTCATCTAACAATAATCCTTAGGTTTTCTCCTTTATTGGATATAATAAGAAATTTATTAACTAATTCTCAAATATACCTTCTCTGCTTAATGTTGGCATTATATCAATGCATAATTATATATTGTTTAAGCTATTATATACCATGCACTCAGATAAAAACTATAACTCTGTGTATATTAGTAAGAGAAGAAAAGAAACAAAAATGTGTCTAAGGATGACCATTATTTCATCTACAAAGAATAGAATTTTTTTTGGAGGGGGATACAGATTTTATATCTTTGAAGAATACTAGTTAGATAAATTTATTGGATAAAACTATTCAAACAACCTTGGAAATAGCAGTTTTGAGAAATAAATGTAGAAGAGCTGTTATTTTTTGCTTTCCAGATTATATTGTTTATCTCACTATGATTTTCTTAATGTAGTTGTTTTCATTGACTTGATCTAGTTTTGTGGAAAATACTAAACTTCAGAGAAAGGAATTATATGGGTAAAATAAATTGGGTATATGGGTATGCCTTTACAGATAGATTCTTACAATAAAATAAATTTAAGAAAGTTATTTTCAACTTAATTTTTTTTTAGTACTTGGAGATAAAAGAAGGTAAATGTAAGATTTTTATTAATTTTCTAGTTTATTAATTTCTTTATTAATTTTCTTACTTTACAACCAGATTCATTTCATGAGAGTTGACATGCAACCATAAAAATATTTGAAGAATGAGAAGATAAGCTGAGAAAATGATAATTTAATAGTATCTGATACATTAAAAAGAAGTACAAAGAAATGGAAATATGTTGACTTGTTTCTGGAAGCAAAAGTAGCCCTATACCATAAATGTATTAAAAACATCAAAACTAAAGAGAATAGTTATTATATGTAGAGGAGAAAGATTTCTAGAAATTAAGATAGTAAATTAAGATAGTATGTAAGAACACTAAACAGAACAAAATTCTAAGAATAAGATATACTGTTTAGTAGCTAGAAATTTGTCCATAAAAACTGAAATTGCTTAGGAAGAAATCAAAGCTGAGAGTAGACAGCACTTGTATGTGCAAAAGCCTTGTTTTCTTTTTTATGGCTCGATATGACAAACACTGAATTAAATTATAGTAAGTAAATGGTTATTCTTAGTTGTTCAGAATATGGTTGTTTTCTCTATCAATGAATACTAAACAGACAGTATTATTTAGGAGTTGATGTAAGAGAAATAAGTCAACCATCTCTTTTGTTGGTGTTCTAATGATCATGATATACAATCTGCAAATATCTGCTCTGCTACTGCAATGGATTTAAGGTCACTTGGCTTCCCAGAGGAATCTGCTCCAATTTATCTCCCAGGTATATTTCAAAATTCAGCTCAAACATCACCTCATTTGCTCCAAAGTACATAAGATTATGACTTTTTATATTACATATATCTTACCTAAGTTTAAGTTTCTTTATCTATAAAATTACATTAATGAGTAATATATACTTTAAGTGAGATAGTCTCCAAATAAAATCCAAAATGAATGCAAAATAACTAACATTTCCATAGAATAGACAGTGTAAAATACAAGTTCCCCTTTCTTCTCTAAATGAAGACTTTCTGTCACAGCTGACTTGGTTTGACCCTATTCTTATTTGCTATTTCTTAGCATCCGGACATACTATAATAGGAAAGCACTGAACATTACTCAAGTGTGTTTTACTTAATATGCTGTAAGCTCTTGGAAGTTCAGTCTCCTCTTGTACAGCAATGCTGGATTTATTATGCAAACTTAATAACGATCTATGGAGAAATGAATCACTTAAATTGCCTGCAAGAAGTATTACATCTCTACTCCAGGGCCAATAAGTCATAGTTGACAAAGTAGGGCACTTACTTCTTTAAGTTAATGAAAAAAAAAAATCACATGTGAAATTGACTGAAAAATTTCCCATTCATGCAAAATAGTGAAACTGTTATAGAACAGAATTGTCTTTTTTTTTTTTTTTTTGAAAAATCTAAAACAGATAGCTAAATATAGCACTTACTTGCTCTTGGTGTTGACTGAGCGGTCTAGAGTGGACCAATCTTTCTGGCAGTTTTCGGTCCAGACCGTGTCCATTTTCCAAACGAGACTCCCTGGGTTTATCAAACCAATCTGTTTCCTCACGACGCAGGTGATAGGCTTTGGAGACCAAGCAAACATCAGACATTGCAACCACAACTAACACAGGTGATCGAAGGCAGCTGACGTGCTGTAGTACTGACATGCACTGGGCTTATCAACAAAACATGCATTTCAAACACAGCTCCTAATGGGACTAGAAGAATTTCATTACTGTGCTAATGATAAAATGATGTCAGAAATTTGGTACCATATAATAACCAGAAAAAATGACACATACAGATGTTCACAACCTCAGCGCAAAATGGAAAAAAAAATCAAATTTTAAATCAGGAGAAAAACAATTTAGATAGTGATGGAATGCATAAAGGAATACACCAATCCTCAAAAGAGTCATTATATTTAACCTCATTACATCAGTTGTCTCCCACATTTCCCCACAAACCACCACTGAAAATCATAACAAATAATATTCCTTAAGTATAAAAATTACTGTCACCATTTTAGTAAGCCAGTGACAATACCGGGCTGTTTAACAGCTTTTTAAAAAATATGACATTTTAGAACATTCACAAATAAATTATAGCTTTTATTTCTAAGAGAATTCCAGGTATTACTGCTAGAAATACACATGCCATGAGCACTTAGTAGTCTAATGTTAAAAATACATCTATTATAATTTTAAAATAAAAATGAAGTGATTAGTGTCTAAAAATATCACTCTTTTACAAATGAGAATGAAGACTTCTCTGCTTTTTAGAATTAAACTGTGATAAAACCTGACATCATAAAATATTCAAAATGCAATCATAAAGTACACAACTATCATTTTAAAATTTCCATCTCATTCATTAGTATGTCTCAGGTCTTTCAAGGTTACAACCTAGTAACTGAAAATCTTATTTTACTATATAGATTTTGATTTATTTAAATTGTTTTATTTTTTGTAAAAGAATTCCCACTTAATAGTTTCTGGAAATAACACTGTCGCTTCCTAAATGACAGATGGGGTGGCTTTCTTAAGGGCTCATCCAGAAAGATTTGTTGGCAACGCTGTCAGCGGTCAACCTACACTTCCTCAAAATTCCAGCTTCCACAAGGCCAAACGGGTGAATTTCCTTCTCTAACGCATCACAGTTTCCTATTTCTGTCCACGACCCTAAATCTCTTCTCTCCTAAAATGTCCTTCCAGGTTTTTTCCTGTAATCCATTTTTCATTATTTCTTTGCTGGCAGAGCTGGTAAACCTACCACCTATGTACCACTACTTACCTCCACACCTCCTGCGATCTTGGTCAATACTGCTAATTAACCACAGTAATCCCCCAATAAATAAAAATGAGAGGTGATGTCTCTCAGTTTCGGCACTGTTAGATTTGAGAAACTGTACCTACCTGGTTTGTGCTTGCATAAGTGCTTCACTGATCTCACCTACTAGATTCTAAGCTGCTGGAAGGCAAGGCTCATTTCTTCTTTTTTTTTTTTTTTTAATTTTTTCCTCCCTCAACACTAAAACCAAGGCCTTGCACATGGCATAACCTTAAATAAATATTTGCAGAATCAATGAAGCATAGCATAATTTGTCATCAACTAGAGAAAGTTAAGTATCCTAACGTCGATAAACACATTTTATAATAAATATTAATTTGTCCCTTTGACCTCATTAATAAAAATACATTTTTCACTATATACTCAATAATCATTATAGCTTTCCATAGTCTTGATTCGAAACCAAGTGATTAAACTTACAGAAACAACTTAGTGCAATAGACATTTGATTAGCAAATATAAAAAAAGCCATTATTTAATTATCAGTCTCTGAAGCCTTATCAGATTATCCCCAACCATGTTTATACTACTTTTGTCTTACTATGTATAGGCCTTTATAATATATTTTTCATTAAAAGAAAGCAATAATCCATACTGATTTTAATAAATTAATTTTCTGGTTAATATAGTACACATTTTATTTACACATACAAGTTTCTTAACTGCATTTGAAATACAATTCAGTAAAATGTGTCTTTACTTTGGCTGCTTTATAGAAGTAAAATCTCAACATGTGCTATATTTTGTTAACTTATTTCCAATTCTGATTATGTGCTTTAATTTTCTGTTATTTCTTATAATAATCCTATAGGTAACTAACTAAAGATATTTATTATCCTTTATTCCTTTAAAGGAATTTATAATCAACTAAGAGCAACCAGATTAAGTAAATCTGCTTTTATATTGCCTCATCAATTAGCCAGTTCTACATAAATGTTAATTATTTTAACTACAATTATCTGATCTTCCACGGTAGAGCCTTTAAAGACCGTTTTATAAATTAAATTGTATAACAACAACAAAGTTTTCCAAGTTAGTTTAATTATGGAGATTAAAACCCCGTTTTTAAAAGTTGCTAATATTTTCCTGAATGCCTAAATATAAAAGACAAATAAGTCATTTTTGGATCTAGTATTGTTCACAAGCAACAGTTACATTAATAGTTTAATTTTCCTCAGTATCAAATTCCAGGTAAAAATTTTTTTAAAGAAGATTGTATATGTTGATACTTTTTAGGGGGTACATAGAATGAAGTACATTTTGGAAGAATGTTTTCAACAAAAGATCTGTGGTAGTAGAAATAAATATAATGTGCTTTAAGCCAGAAATATTAATAAATATTAAGCTACATAAATTATGTCTACCTATTAACTCGAGTCTATCAGAATATATCTAAAAACCTTACATCTATAGCCTAGAGTTTGAGTTTGGAAAAAGCACAAAACAAATACTTTAAAAGCACTTAAATTGCTGTCCACATGATATTAAATTACCTATAGTAGGTTACACTGTTCATAGTTATTGTACTATCAAATACAGATATAGTATATGTTTGCTAAAATTTTCTTTAAAATATTCTTCACATTACATAAGTTCATAAATGTTAGAAATTATATGAATAAGAAAAATACTTTCTACTTTTTTCCTTAAATGACCAAGAAATTAAAAATTTCAATAGAAAAGTAGACATGTCACTTGAAGAAAAGTTACATTTTTAGGATATGAAAGCAATGAAAATAGACAAGATTTTACTAAGTGTATCTTTTAAAAGTAATCACTATAATTCACATACACAGAATTATATGTATGTAATTCAATTAGTTATATGTGTTTTGTCTAATTATATATTGGTATATTCTTTGTGAATAATTTTCTTATATCCTTAATTTTTAAATATATTCTACTTTAATTTCTTCTAAATTTCATTTTAGTTATTTACTCCTTTAGTATCATCTTCATACATTTCATAATTTTGTATGATGTATGACATCTTTTCCCATGCTTTATCAAAAAAATAACTTTTCATAGTCTTTAGTGATTGTGACTTATACATGATTCAAACACAAATTAGAAATAAAAGTTATTTTTATATAGTTAGATGTAAATAAATTCTACATAATGGGATATCTAGACATATATATAAATCTGGCACTCTGTTAATGAAATATCTGTGATGAATCAATGAATTTGTCAAATTCATTCCAGATACATGAACACATAGCCTTTAAATGGTTACTTATGCCATAGACACTCTAGAGCTTTTATTTTGTTATTTTATAGATATAACTATTGAAGAGTCTTCTTACTTTTCTTCAATAGACTTTTTTTTACATATAAAGAATTTGGCTAAATAAAAAATAGTGTTTTGTTTAATTGACTGTTAATAAAATTTGTTTAGTCAAATTGCCTAGAGAGAAAAGAAATCAAAAAGTGATTGGCCTACTGCAATTTCACAAGGAAAACAGTTTTGTCCTCCTTCAGATTCAGTGATTACTTCAGTTCTGTAAAAAGAAAAATTTAGAGTTGAATTTCTATAACTATATCTGTGTCAAGATATAGAAGTAGAAAAAATCCTTTTCACAAAAATGTATTTTCCTGTGCATCCTCAAAAAGAGGTTAGATTTAACAGGAGAGATGTTCATTTTCTAATTCTTTGACATCTCCAAAGACATGAAATAGAAATAGCATTTTATTTCTAGACCTCTATACACACCTATATTCAAATGTAAAGCACAGGTGGGTGGGGAGAGAAGAGCCAAGAGTCTTGATATGAGCCAAGCTGTTCACACCTGCACCCCTTCTCCCTCATCTTCAGAATTAGACTTGACTACATAATTTTCAAAAATCCTATGGATTCATATAATTGAACAAAAATTATTTTAAGCCAGTTTTTATTTAGGAACACACTTGTATTAAAGCACTTCTTCAATATTAAAAACTAGCAAAACAATTTAATACAAAAACAAGGGATAATATAAAAAAGCAAAGCCAAGGAAAAGGCTAAGTCAACAAATGAGGACGGCTTGAGTTCCAAATAGCTGAAGTTACAAAAGTAATTTAACAATTTTTCAATTTTAAAACTTAAGAATGCTTCACACATAGTAACAAGATTATTTATTTTCATCATATTATTTAGTGCTAAGCTTCCTAGCATGTAATGAAAAATGAACAAATTTGTCACTAATTGTATTCACAATGAGAGAGAGAGATATAAAACAGAAACCTTTTATTTCAGGAGAATTATAAAATTTTGTATTATAGTAACATCAAGAACATATTCACAAGTTCCCCAAAAGATAACATTCTCTGAACTAATAAATACTGATCTCAAAAATGCCATAATTATTTACTACAAAGTTTATCAGCAAATTAATTCATGGTTCTAAGTAATAATTCCACAAACTGGAAGAAACTGATTGATAATTTTTAAAATGCATTTTAAAAAATGAAAGAAACATACAGTGAAAAACTTCCCAATTATAGATTTACAGAATGACTATATTTTATTGACAGAATTATTTGATAATGATTTTTCAAAAGCCAACACCAAACAAATCAAGCAATCAAGAAATAGAACAATAAAAGAATAAACTAAAACTAACGAAAGAAAAGCATGCCACAAAATCTATACACAAGATAAAATTTCCATTTATAAGAAATAAAATTGAAGTAAACATGCAAAAGACACACCAAGAAATGTAGAATACATCTTTGGAGAAGGAAAATTAAACATGCAGAAAAATAAGAGTTTGAGTTTTGAGGGAAACAGGGTAGTGTGAGGCCCAATTTACCTTCACTGTCTGACATGGCATGTTGGAAGTCATCCATGATGAATGCTATGTCACGGTCATAGCCTCGAGTCCGTGATTCTTCTCTCATATGTTGCTGAACTTCAGGCAATGAGTGACTCGATCCAAACTGATCCCTGGTGTCTGCAGATATTGGTGGCAGTGGTCCAGCTGCAGCCCTGGCCATTCCCATTGGCTGACCAACGGGACTGAGTGGGCTTTCTTCTTCAGAATTCTGGGCAACAATTGGTATTCTTCCTCTACTCTGACTAATGGGCAAACTGGTAGGCTTAGTTCTTGCAGAGGGTGATCCATGACCAAAGGAAACATCTAGAGCCTCAGCCTCTTGAGCTTTCAGTCTCAGCGAAGAGCTAGAAGAATCTCTTTTAATTGATAAATCAAGGCCATAGACAGAGGAAGGTCTGGAGGAAGGTCTTGACCTGCTACCACTACTGTATGGCTTATCTGCTTCATCCTGCAGAGCTGACCGTATGGTACTTCCTAAGGTGCCAAGAGATGACCCCATAAATTTTTGTTGGTCTGTAATATTTTTTCTGAGGCCAAAAGTGATGTCATCTTGAAGAAGTCTTGCCCTGGAAGAAATGCCACCAATAGATGAAGTGCTAGCAGTCATATAGCTCGAATAATCAGGTTCGAGGTCCCTACTTTCTTGAATAGGTGAAAATTTTGACATTTTAGGGTCAATGAGTGATTTCTTATGCTTTGATTGCTTTTGATAAAGTATGGCTGCTGGTAGTTGTTTTGCTGCTTGTTTTTCAAGTGTGAGTCTACTGATGCTATACTTTTCAGACTTTGGAAAATGTCTGTAACTAGTATCGGCATGGTAATAATGTGAAAGACCAGCAAGGTGATCTAAGCTCTCTGTCCCTCTACGAAATTCTTGCTTTATCTGATGTTTCAGAAGCTTTAACTCATAAGGCTCCTCCATCGGGTCTTCCTCCGCCTTCACGTAACTATGCAGCCTGGAGGAAGTCTGTAATGGAGCTAGAAAATCTGTCACTTCTTGAGACCTACGTGTCTCGGTGGTTCGAAGGAGACGGTCTGTTTTTGACAGATCTTTTTCATGAAGGCTAAATGCGGTGCTTAATGCTGTTGTTCCTTTGGTAATCTCACCAATGTCATCAATTAGGACATAATTTCGTGGAGTGTGATGATCAATATCTGCATAGAAGGAATCTGCAGATATGCTTGATATTGGACTGCTTGCCATGCTGCTTCTTTCCTCCAAACCTATTCTCAAGTCCAGTGTATTGTACTTACTACCAAGATGAGAAACAGCATATGTATTATCAGTAGAGACAGGTGCTATCATCAGCGGCTGGTTGCGAATCACTTCATAGTTTGAAGTTATCTTGGGCTCCAAATATAATGTAGTTTGCCGTGGCTTCTGCTGTATCACCATCATCTGTGATGGTAACTGATAAGAAGGTTGTGGGGTTGGGGTAGGTTGAGCTTGAGGTGTGAAGGACATAGTGGCCACAGCTTGGAACGTTGGCTGAGTTTGGTATGGTGAAACTTGCTGATGGTACAAAGTCTGTTGCTGAAAATGGGACTGCTGGGTGTATGGGGTGGGTGCTTGGGTAGGAAGCACAGGGGAAGAGTATTGGTATTGTGTGTAAGGACTTGTCTGAGGCACCAGTTGAGATTCTGTTTGCGTTTGTGGTGGTATAAATTGGCTGAATTCAGTTTGGGGAGCAGTTCTTGGTCTCTCGATGGCGTGCTGACTTTCTATCCGGGCTGGTCTGGTGCTGCTCACCTCGCTGTCAGACATGTAATCACGGTCTTCAGCCACTCCCTGGAGGTAGGCTCGCTCTCTCTTTTCTCTCTCCTTTAACAATGCCTCTTTCCGCCTGTTAATTCCCATTTCTAGGTACCGTAGCTTGGCATCAATCTCCTTTTCTTCTTCATCAAGCTCTGCCTGTTTCTTTCTAAGCTTTGCAGATTCCCTTTCCACGAGATCAAGCTCTCTGTCTATGTCCTGGAGAATCTTGGCTCGTGCCATTGTGTTAGTTCTGCAGATCCTTCTCCTGGAAACTGTGCCCATGCTGCTGTATGTGGCCTGAGTACCCGTGGAAGTCTCCTCAGGAGGTGGATTTGGCAGAGTTCTCTTTACTTTTTTCTGGGTTCCAGAAGGTGTCATGGTTTGAGAACCTTTTGTCTGTAATCAAGTAAACAAAATATAGTACTTTATTATCAAGGAAAAAATAAAGACCAAAAAACCTTCATAATTTACATTTAATACAATAATTTCATGAATGAAATCATAAAAATTTTATATGAGACATAAAAAGTCTATATATAATTTCAAGTTTTGGCCACAAATGCAATGAACTAATTTTTTCTTTCTCAGTAATCGGTTATTTATTATTATAACCCATGTAGCATTAGAAATGAGTTTTGAAATCAAGCACCAAGCACATTGTTTATGCAGGCTTATCTTTCAGTCAGACTTTTAGAAGAAGTCTGAAAACTCAATTTCCAATTATATAAATATATGTGAGATTATTTATTAAATCCATTCCCAAAATGCTTGTGTTAACGTTTAAAATTTAAGTTACATTTGTTGAAGATGTTTATTTACTATGTCAAGTTCAATAATTGCATCTATTTTCCCATTCCTATGTTTACTTCCTGGAGTAGCAATAATTTCTATTTTGGTCCTAAAATGTGTTAGAATGAAATCCTCAAATTTTCTAATGTCCTTTTTTTCCCTCAAAAAAGGACAATTTGGACTAATTTTCTATATTTAATCTTTTAATATTTTTATGATAAATAGCTTACTATTAGGTTTTATATTTTCTTTCAACTTTATTATTCTTTAATTATTCTAGTATATTCTTATTGCTATAATAGCTCCTATATGAAGCAAAAAGAGTTGACTATAATAAAAATCCAATGGAAACTATTTAAATCAAATTATATATATGGCTGGTGAGGAATCAGGTATTTTCAATTTCATTCCATTAATTTGTCATAAACTTGCTTCTAAGAATCCCAGGTCTATATGTAAAATGATACAATTTTAGAATATCAAAAGACATAAGAAATCATTATAAAAATAAACTGATGTTACTCAAAGTTACCCAAATACTAACTGGATCTCAGGAATTCCACCTTTCACTTGCATATTTTTTACAAAATGCTTTCTTTTCTTATAATCCAAAGACATTCTCTACTCTACCCACCCACACAGTAAATACAGAAGGTGTAAAAATAATAGAAAAAATATATGAGTCTATAAATTTTGGCCCTGATAATTACAGTTTTTTTTTTTTTTTTTTTTTTTTGGCTGGGGCTGGGTTTGAATCCGCCACCTCTGGCATATGGAGCAGGAGCCCTACTCCTTTGAGCCACAGGTGCCACCTGGACCTGATAATTATACCTTATTCATTAGCTCACATTTTTCCAAGACTCTCTGTTTTAATTGTGTTTTATTATTTCCAAATTTATTTTCTTCATGTTTTTTTTAATCTACTTTGTTATCCTTTTTTTTTCCCCACCTCCTTTGTGAGCCTCCACTAGTCCTTTCTTTAGTAGACATCATAATATGAAACAACATCCTAAAAGTTTATTGAGGTTAAAGTATACTTCCAAAATCTAAAATATTTGGATGGAAATGAATAAGTAACTTAAACCTGTGAAACAGGGGACCTTAATTTGGAATTGTAGTTTGTTCCTCCTCACAGAGAAATCTTAAGGACCATGGGCAATGGGAGCCTCCAAGGCAGCTATCTGACTTGTTATTCATTCTCACTCACCCTCAATTATTTTTACTTTGTATAGTACTTACAATTTAGTTAGAGAATTTTGATAAACATCAAATGAAACAATTGTGCTAAATACTTGATAGATACTTGATACAGATATTTTTAAATGAAGAAATGAAAAAAATATAAGAACTGTGGCCATACTATAGGTATCTATTAAATATTAGCTCCTTCAATAATTCCCTTATTTCTATAGAAAATTATGCTTTTTGGATAAAATTACATTTTCAATTTAAAAAATTTATTTATGAAAAAGTATGCATGCTATACTTTTACTACTAACTAGTCATAATTAAATAGTAATAAAAGAAAAACTGAGATGTCATAATTATGTTAATTTCAAAATTTCCAAAATACCAATATAGATATGTACACTATATTTTTTAAACGTTTTCCCACAACAACCTTTTCAGTCTTTTGAATATAATGGTGTTCAATAGGAGGCTGAAAATCACATATGTATACCATGGAATATGATAAGAATCTGTAAATTGAAAGTGTTTTGGAATAGGCACTGCAGTTCATCACAGCTCAATTTACAATCACCAAAATGTGGAAACAACCTAAATTCCTACCAACCCAGGAATGGATTAACAAACTATAGTATATGTATGCCATGGAATACTATTCAGCCATTAAAAAGATGGAACCTTTATACTTTTTGTATTAACCTGGATAGAACTGGAACACATTCTTAGTAAAGTATCACAAGAATGGAGAAGCAGGAATCCAATGTACTCAATTCTAATGTCAAGGCAGTAAATGATCTAATACATGCCCACATAAGAGAAGATCTCAAATCAATTTAAGGTGGGGGTGAGGGCAAGAAGGGGGCAGAGAGGGGAAGTAGGGTGGGAGATTTGTATACTCCCACTTAATGGGTACAATGTCGGAGTGCATGGCACACCTCTTAGGCGTGGGACACAATTATAAGAGGAAATGTACCTAACAGATACAAACATTGTAACCTAATTTTTGTACCTTCAAATTAACCTGAAACAATGAAAAAAGAAAATGTTTACCTATACTACCTGGTTATTGTGAAATGGTTTAATAAAAGTATATTTAATTTAATCTAGAAGTGTTAAGGCATTGGTATTTCAAGATATCTCAGAGCAAGGACTTTCTGTCCCACCAAAAGGAGTTAACAACATCCACTGATTAAGAAAAACATCCAGGTTAATAAAAATAAATGTTAACTTGGTGTAAAGGAAGCATACAAAACGGAAATTGTTACTAGGAATTGGAAAAAGTAGAATAAAAAGAAATTTCTTGGTAGGCAAGTACATTTATAAATTTAACTCTTAGAAATATTGTAATACCCTAAATACAAGTATTATCAATTCAAGGAGAACAAGGGAACTGGCAAAAGGGGTAGGAGAGGGATTGATAAACTCTCACCTAATGTGCACAATGTAAGTTTATACAGCATACCCCCTGGGTGAAGGGCTCAACTACAACTTGAACTGTACCTTAGAAAAGCAAACAATGTAACCTAATCATTTGTACCCTCAGATTAATCTACAATAAAAAATGCCCATTAAATGAATGCAAATATTTTTAAATGAAAAAATGAAGAAATGAAAAGATAAAATAAGAACTGTGGCCATTTTTAAAAGTTCTGAATCAAAAAGTGAAATTTTTAGAATTCAATGAATAAAATGAGAGTATACAATCTGAAGAAACACAAAAATGATTACTGCATTAAGAATAATGCTTAGTGAAGTAGGGAGAAATCTGTGGAAGTTCTTGTTATTACTGTTTTTAGATGTAAACTTTTTGTTTTTATAACTTAACTTTATGTTTAATTCTTTCTATTTTCATTTGAAAGAACAGGCTTACCAAATTCAACTTTATTAAGAAAAACAACGTCCTAGGTTAAAGACGCATTCTAAGTATTGGGGCCTTCTAACTATCTTCCATGGTTACAAATATGTAATGATCCAGGACTCATGTTAATTAATATTTTGTGAGCCATGTGTGTGAATCATGGAAATAAAGAGTAGAGCTGGTTAGTAGAATCAAGATGATTAATCTAATTGACCACTCAGTCCCCAGAAATCTAAATAGCTTTGCTGTTCTCTACTTTGTAACACAATAGCTTTTACCCCAAGTACACAGACAGTCATAAATTTGCAGACTTGCCAAGGCCTCCGCCATATTCCTCACAAATCCAAGGCAGTATGTTGTAACTGAAAACTTACTCTCTCAGTCGAGGTTCTATGGAGTTTCAGACGAAGATCTCTGCCCTTTCTGAGCCATGAGACCTATATCAGTCTGTTTACATTCCCTGGTCCTCAGTTATTTCATATGTCAAAGGTGGTTAATATTTATTCTTACATATCTGGTTTGTCTAAGAAGTAAGTGCATTAGCACAATAATCTAGATTAACTATTGGCCCAGAGAAAGCACTGTATATACACATATCTGGTCAAAGTCCTTGTGTCTGAAATGACCAACACACAGAGTATTTGTTTTAATAAAATTATCTGACAGAATACTCTATATCACAACAAAGTTGAATTCTTAAAAGTTAACATCTAGCAGGTGGTGCCTGTGGCTCAAATGAGTAGGGCGCTGGCCCCATATGCAGGAGGTGGCAGGTTCAAACCCAGCCCTGGCCAAAAACTTCAAAAAAAAAAAAAAAGTTAACATCAAGCTTCAGTTCCCCCCAAATCAAAGGGATTCCATCTTCAGAGTGAAAGTAGTATTATTTTCAAGCTTAAATAGTTTCCAATAAAACCAGTTTCCCAGTCCCAGGTTAATTAAGGAGGCAATATCTTGACACTATCAGAGAGTATTCTATAATTAGATTGTTGTCAAATGTAAAGACGTTCTAAGTGACGACAGGTGCATTTCTACAGATGAGCCTTTATCACACAACATTCTATTAGAAGACTCCAAGTAGATGTGCAAACCTAATTGTGGTAAAAGCCTTCTTATTAGCTATTCAAATAGATATTTTCAAATGTGCATTGGTGATGAGAAATAAAGGAAATTATTTTGAAAAAAAGCAAAGCAAAGCAAAGATAAAACAATCAAAGTCATTGATTTCTAGGTAGTAGAATTCCATAGACATAAATGTTAGAAATCAATTTTATCTATTTAGCAAATCCAGATATCCTTCAATCAAGTCCATTCATTGATTCATCCCCTCAATCAAAAAAAATACATATATATTTATACACACACACACACACACATATATATAGTACTGGCTACCATGTGCTGGGCATTAGCATAAACATGATTATTAACAGCTATTGCATTACTGTTACCTTTTGGCATCTCGCAATGTAAAGACCGTCTTTAAAATTACATGAACACTTCAGAACTATAAGAGTATATTTTAATTTCAATATAGATAATAACATCTACTTTTTAACATATA